CTGTGCAAATTTATTTGCCTTCAAGACAAAAATCTATGGCAATTGCCTTTACAACTGCCAATTGGCCAACAAAAGGCGCTGCCTGCAACAGAAGCAACCAACTGAAGCAAAAGAGAAGAACAAGAGCCAGCAAACAAGTCACCCTCCCCTCTCCAATCCAGTTAGTTCAAGATGGCCAATTATATAAGACGCAGGCGAAGCTTATTTTGATTTAATTTCCCTTTTAAGATTTTACCTTTACTCATGTGTTATTTACATATTTGATTGGAATATTCTACACATGTGTGCGTATGAATTTTCCAAGGCTTTTACCTCGGCTTGTCAGCACTCAAATGCTATTTAGAGTTAGACAAAAGGATAGACAGACCAAGAAGGAGTGACAGAGAAAGCGACATGGCAATGCAAATAGATAGAAGAGGGTAGGTAGGCGGGGCACTGGTTGTTGCCCAGGCAAAATCAAATTAGTTCCATAGTAAATTTCATTGTGAAATTTGCACAAATTGCCTTTTGTCATAGCAGCAGGGCTGCAAAATTTATCATCAACTTTAAAAGAAGGATATTAATACGAAAAGAATAGAATAGATTATCAGTTCGCGCTGCAGAAATTAATTAGAATGCAGCTTGAGTAGGGGAAAAATAATTATTTTTTCTAGATTGGATTAAAATAGAATTAGGTTTAAAAAATATTGAATTAATTGAAAATTATATTTTTATGCTTAATTAAAGAAGTATTTATAAAATCTATAGACAATAATATTTTATTGAAATTTATTAAGGTTTTGTCTATCAAATGAAAATTTGATATTATTTTGTCTTTTAATTTAACAAATCAATTTGCGAACTACTTTAAGTGTATAAATTATGTGTAAAAATAAATTATTTAATAATAATTTTATGCAAAGAAGACATGGTTGTCTTCACTTTCAACCTAAACTGTAGACAGTTTAATAGTAGCCATAGTTTTCTTCCTTTCATTGCCAGTGCAGCCCTGACCAGCAAAGCACTTTCCAACTTCATTTTAAAGACCATGCACTGAGACACTTTAATCTCGTGCGGGTCTTTTTGGAAGGCATTGCCAAGTGCTGCCTTCAAAGTTGACTTTGAACACTTTTACGTTTCGCTGATTTTTCAAGAGTTTCATTTTTTGCGATTTTGCCAGCCTGCTTTGGCATACGAGTTGCCAAGCTGTGGGTCTTGTATGTGTGTGATTTCTTGCCCCCCTTTTGAGTACGTAGCCAGCTTTGCCCATTTCTTCTTCACTCATTAGAAAAACGTTACGAAAGTGGTAAAAAATTGCAGTACGTGTTGCGAAGGGGACTTTTCTCGAGAAAAAAACTGCATGTAAAGTTTGCACCAAAGTAGCAAAAAAATAGAAAAAAGAAAAAACAGAATATAAAAGGCAAAACTGAGCAAAAAGTTTATTACTAACTTTCGAGTGGAACACGCGCCAAAGAAGGAAAACGAAAACTAAGTAAAAGTTTAATATTTGATTTAAAAGTTGATCAAATTTACTTTAGTCCACACTCAAACTTGGCGCTCTGCGTGTTATTTGTTTTTATTGAATTTATTTGAATGTGTCTTGCAGCCACATCCCCCGCCCCAAAAGAAAGAAATAGCTTGGTTCGTGTCTCGGCTATCGCGTTGATTTTTCATTTCGTCGTGCAAATATGAAAAACAAACTGAAAACGAGATGCAACAATGGGCGAGCAGCATAAAGGCAGAAGCTGAAGCTGAAGCTGAAGCTGAAGCTGAAGCGCAGGCAAAAAAATTGCACCACGAAAATGGGAAAATTTTCCAAATGCCTTTGTTTGTTTGCGCTGAAATGGAAAACGCGGCCAACTGCAGCAGCAGGAAAATCATTCGGTATTGTTTATAAGCCCGGCTAAAGGCTATGCACGAGAGCATACTAATTTGGATATGAAGCATGCCATAGCAGAAGGCATCACGAAACATAAAAAGATGAATGTAAACTTCAGACCTCAGACTGTTGACTTCTCGGCAAATGCGCTATTGGATAGCTAGTTGGATATTGAAGCAAACTTCGTAATTGATAAGCTACAGAATCAAAAAAGGTTACAAAGAATCAAAAAAGGTTACAACTCAATTTTATTTTATGAAAACTAAATGAAAGTCTTTATAAACGTGAACTGATCTAATGTTTTTCTCTTGTATTTATTCAATTATTTTTATAATGTATCTATAAGCTTAAAAGTTTTTTTGCTCAATGAATTACATGTTTCCTTAAATCCAAAGAAACTTGATAAAAGTAAAGAAATTTTTGAGCTAATTTATAATATTTACTTCATATTCATTTCGATTTGGATTCTTTCTATCATAAAGAAAATCTTGAATGCTTTGCAGCTAATAATTATTGACTTGATTTCTTCTAGAAATATCTTTGATTACTTTTTTTGTAGCATATCATATATAGGTATATTGGTAGAAAATTTAAAGTAAAGAGCATTAGCTTAGTCGTCATAGAAGCAAAGCCCCGCTTACTTTTCACGCTGAATTTTCAGCTGATATTTTCGCTAGCCAGAAAACCCCCGTAGATATTTGTAAATATTCATAGAGCCGCGGGAATTATATTTGCCACAAACATACACTGACACACAGATCACATGCTGCTCCAACGCGATGAAATTTGAACAAAAACATTTCGCATGCTACCGACTAATTCTGGCTGCAAAATTCCTTCGCAGCTATTGCCAAATTGAGTTTGCGCTTGGAGTGGCTGCCCCTGAGCCCCATTACCAACAAACGCCCCTCCCCATTGCCGTCCCTCGCTAAAATGCAGTGCAGTGCAGTGCAGCTAACTCAATTTGGCGCCCATGTCACATACGTCAACGCGTGCCACGCCCACAAAGTGGGTCGCACTGCCAATTTGTCAGGATTTGCTGCAGCACGTGCCACATCGCACGTTTAGCTTAGCTTATCATTTTCTCAAAGCGCGACTCTCTGACTCTCCTCTCCCTCTCTTTCACTTCTTTTCTTAGACCTTGGCTATTTAATATGCAAAACGTCAGTTGCCGAAAAAACTGACAAAGTTGAAATAAATTTTTATTTCATGGACTCTGTTTGCGCTCCTAAATCGGCAATGAACTTGCCGCAGAGCGAAAACGAAAAGCACCAAGAAAGCACGAATGAGCGACTAAGTGGATATCCTGTTAGCCACCCCGATTGAAGTTGTTATACGTATGTGAATGTATAACCAAATGTATTTATCTATCAAATATATTGTTATATATATAATATATTAAATAGTTATTCGCAATTGTTGCTGAGAGGATTCTCGATACTTGATCATTTATTTATTGCAAACCTTTGCTCAACTGGAGTATACCCGACTCTGCAAATTTCAATGGCCGCTGAGTACAAAAATATGCCAAGGCAGCAACAGCAGTCGCAGCCGTTTTCCCCGTCTGTGTTTGTGCTTCTTCTAACTAGGCTCGAGGCTCGTGGCTATAAGACACAAGAGAGAATCAAATATATATATATTTATATAGTCTACTTCTGTGCGTTGTCTATGCCCTTGCTTTAGAGGCCGCTCACGTAGCAGACGAAAGAAAAACGCAAAGCAATTGCAGACAAGCAGAGGAAAAAGCCAAAAAGAAAAGACTTTTCGCGCTCAACGTTAATTTAAAAACGATGCACAGGCAGCAGGCAAAGTTTTTAATTTTAATTTCATAAATGCAATGAAGTGCAGCTGCGCCTGAATCCTCAAATCCAGAGCCAAATCGAATCAGGGAGAAGCAGGTGGCGAGTGCTTAGTGCGCCGGAAATCATTTACGGACGCAACGTCTAAACGAATTTCCAAACGTTCTGCATAAAGTTTGTCATACGCCACGTGGTACAAGCGGGCAAAGAGACGAAAAAATATATGGCTATGGTTACGCCAGTGATGATTATATAGCGTGTTTCCAGCCAAATATAACTACATATGAAAATTTAAAATGAAGAAATTGGAAATTCAAGTTTGTTTTATACCAATTAAAACTTGTTTTTATTCCAGAAGCCGCTAACTAACTAGCCATATGACATTTTAGCTTGTTTATAAGCTAGAACTAGCGATTTTTTTTACTCAAAAGATGCCAGCACTGTTTAACCAGACAGTCAGTCAGTCATTCAGTCAGTTAGGCAGTTACACAGCTGGAATTGACGAATGCACGAAAAACCACGTAATGACACACACAACCAAATGTGTCGCTGCTTTTCACATACACGTACACACACACACACACATACACACATTGTGAAAATATTTTCACGTTTGGATCGCATTTACATGAATCCGCCTGAAAAACAATTAACGCGTTTCCCACAAAAAGGAGTGACTCATGCGACGTTAGCTGAAAATTCAAGCCCTAGAATTTCCCACGTGCACGAATGCTTGGAAATTTTTACCTTGCAGCGGGTGCGGTGGTTGAAGGTGTGTTTGGGGCCAAAAGCGCAGGGGTTGAACGGGGCGTTTTAAGTCAAAGGTTAAGGCAAAGGCAATTGCAAACAGCAAAAAATGAGCTGAAAACGAGACAGGGCAAACGGTTTGCGGCTCAGTTAATGAAAGCTTAAATCCTTAATGAAGTCAGCAACTGATGATGATATCATTCCAATGAGAAGTGTGTCATTCTAAGCATAGCAACATGTGCACAGGGATATGTCTGAGGTACTTTAGTATGAATAGCGAAAACTACAAGCTCGAAATTATATCGATGTAGTCTGTACATTTATAGTATTTCAAATTTATATTCTCGAAAGTTATTTTTCATGTTATTGGGTATAAAAAAATCATGTTATTTCATGTTATTGAGTATAAAAAATTATCAAAATGTTTCCATGAAAAGGTATTTTTTCAATATTTCATAACTTGCTCATTATAGAAACCATGTGGAGACGGCGGTTATGTTCCTGCTTGAGTTCTACATGAGTTCATTTGAAAACCAAAATGTATTATATAATATTTAAAATTATAGAGATTATAATATAATATTTGGCTCACTCACCATTTGCTGTTGATTCTTTGGTTTCTTGACTAAATCGGGTACCTTAAAGCTGGTAACTGCCTCGATGACCTCGGCGAGGAGCAGGCCATCTCGACAATCGGCCGAAAGATCCGTGACCTTTCGCTTCGATTTGGCCCGCTCCAGATAGTAGTTTGCCCAGTCCGTATAGATCTGCAATTAAATTAAAGTGGTTGAAGGCATTAAAAAAATGTTTGAAAATATTAAACGACATTTTGCATGGCCATTGGCTCGAGCAATTAAGAGTTTGTGCTATACTTTTCGACAGCTGTTCGCGTTGCACAAGTTGCAGCCACATGCAGTGGCATTCACTGGGCTGCAAGTGTGCCTTGGTCCGTGGTCCTTGGTCTGGGCTATCAGGAAATCATTAGCAGCAGAAATCTGCAGAAATCTCTCAGCCAGACAACATATGCACAAAATACAAACATTTTTGACAGCCTGCAGTTGGCTATGCAAACAAATTAAACTCCGGCCATTTAGTGGCCAAAAATATCCTTCGAAGCGAAAGTCGTTAAGGAAATCTGTGCGACGGATTTTTGCTGGCCATCTGTCTGTGTGTGTAAGTGTGTGTCTATGCACACATATATATATATATATATATATATATATATATATATCATTCAGTTTTTATAGCATAATTATAACGACAAGGCTTTTGTGATTTGAGAAGAGAGTGAGTGTGCTTCAAAGGATATGTTATCTTACTTCAGTTCAAGCAAGACATGAAATTTGACTTAAATAATAAAATAACAATATATACCCTGTAGCAAATGATTGAGACAAGGTATATTGACCATTACTCAAATGTATATAGAAGCAACCCTAATATTGAGCAAACAATTTATTTGGAATAAACTAAGTTGATCTAGTCATCTCTGATCGTTGTCGGAATAAAAAGTATGACTAGATTCATCATATTATTTATCAAATAGATTAAAATAGGTGTATTTTTTATATATATCTACACTTTACAGAAAATAGTTTTAGTTGTTAAATTGCTTTCAGTTTTATTCTGAAGATCGGAATATCATGGCCAATCAATGTGCGCTCGACTAAACTTAAGAATTTCTCTAATAACATAGCTGATAGTTGCTCCTTGGCATATATATATATATGCAATAGGGTATCATGTCTCCTGTTTTCAGTTTTTGTCAGTCTAAGTAGTCAACTAATTATGAATGCATATTGTAGAACGATTTATTTATTTATCAGTCCAGCACAATCAACTAAAACGTAGGTAAGTAACATTTCTAATTAAATAACTTTATTTGACAAATATTCTAATATTATATTTGATTTGCTTATATTAAATTCTTTGGATATATTAATGTACCCATGATATAATATAGCCTCAAAACAACTTGAATTAAATTCTGATTGTTCTTGTTCTACCACAAAGTAGAAAAGTTGGTTTAGTTACTGCTTTCTCGACATTTCTTTGGGGGTTTCTCCCACTGTGGGCCCTGTAGAGAGCTTTTGCCGTTTGTACACGTCGTTAGCCGCATCCTTGCGTAGTTTTTATTATAGCTCATCCTGCTAATTCTGTAGCATTGCCATTTTCCGTTTGCCAGCTACCAGTTTTCCTTTCCATATGCATGCGACACATTTTATGTGCGCCTTGCTTGGCAATAAAAATAGCTGGCATTGTATTTTGCGTTTCGCCCGTCTGTTTGTCTATTTTTTTCTCCTTTCCGTTCGTCTAGCTCTCTATTTTGCACCCAAGTTACGAGTGAGCTTTACAGTTGTTATAAAGGGGGAAGTATCTACTTAACAATGGCCTGGCGTAGACTTTGAGCTTATGCATTTTTTCTCTGTGTGCAGTTGCGTTCTGTCTATTGCAAAGGTTTTAGGCTCAGGCTTGGACCTGGCTTTGGATTTGGCTTTGACTCTGGACAAAATAAAGTGAAAACTTGCCACTGCAAAATAACTGAGCAAATGCAATCGCACTGGCAATGGCAAGGACAATGGTAGCTGTAACTGTCGCTGTCACTGGCATTGGCTCCGGTTTTGTTCTTGTTGCTGTTGCTGTTCCTATTTCTATTTCTGTTTCTGTTTCTGGTTTTAACAACTGGCAAAAAGCCGGCTAAGCCAATGCCGCAAATATGCTGCTTGGGGTCTAACCGAATGAATGAAGGTTCACCCACAACAAATACAGCAAACGAATCGACTGGTTGTGTGTTCCTCGTTCTCCTTCTGGTCCAGCTTTGTTTTGCCTTCTGCCTCGACAGTAGCCAAACAACAATAAACTGTGCAGTTGTCTTGTCTTTATAGAGCAGCTAGCAGCTGTCCAGACATGTGTGTGTGTGGCCAATATACCCCAGCCTCTCCGTCTATCTCTATTTCTGTTTGCATTTCCCTCTTGCACACACTTTATGACAGCCAATATCAAAGACAAAACGTAACTAAAATTCAGTTAGTGCTGCAAAGCGTAAAGTGCATGCAGTGTAATAGTGTTAAACAATTTCCATTGACTAATCAATTTTACAGCTATTAATTTGCCTTCGTCATCTTGTACTGCTCCGTTTTCTATGCCTTTGTAATACAAACCTTTGCATAGTCGCTCGTCAATATGCCATTGATGTTATCGCAGGAGCCCTGGTAACTAACGCAGCGACCCAACATCCTTTTTCCAGGATGTCAATTAGAAGCAATTAGCGAAAAATTATAATGGACAAACTTTAAAGTTTTTTGTTGCTCTTAATTAATTTTCATTTTTCATTTTAGTTTTTACTTATGTGAATTTTAATTAAATAAATATTTTATCTATATTTTATGTAATTTAAATTGGTAATTTAATGGTTGTTTTTTAGCATAACTGTAGATTTCAATTATTGTATTAAGTGTAATACTTTTTTTTTATTTTTTTAATGCTTTATATATTTATTTTGTTATATATTTATAGAGTCTTACATGAATGGTATACATTATTTTCTTAAGCCTGTTTAGTAATTTATAAGTTATATATAATATATATTTTGTAATATCTTCATATTTTTAAATCTTTTGTTATTTTATAGGTCATTTTTATTTTTTTTTTATTTCTTTTTTTTTCGTTATATTTGTATCATATTTAAAAGTTTATTTTAAATTGTATCTGTTGCAAATATTTTTATGTATATATTATTTTGACTCAAGATATTTCTTTAAGCTTTTTTTAAAATTAACCAGTCCCATTTAAAACAATCAAATTTAAATAAAAACTAATAAAATTAAAAACGCCATCTTTTCCTTGGTCTCCTTTATAGAATGTAAATATCGCTCTCCGAACAGTCTATATGCAAAATAAAGCAAATAAATTCATGACTTTAAAGCCATTTTATTTCGAATTTCTCTCCTATGTCTTTTGCCCTTTCTCTATCCACATTCCTCCACACACTTATCACATATTATACACCTTTGTTGCTGTCATGTTTATGGCACTTGCACTTTTTAAGCACGCATCTACAGCTACATAAATATAAAATTACAACTTAAAGCGCCGGCAAGTATGCAACATTTCTGCACTCATTTTTTGTACATTTTTTGCCAACACCATTAAAATGTCAATTATGATAAAGTTTTATTGAAACACCGCAGCACATTACGGCTTATCAACGGGGCCAGGCAAAGACCTCCCCAAAAAGTATGCAATAATAATAATAAACATTAAGCGGCAGGCGGCGTTACTTTCTACCCTTTTCAACGCCAAGCACATTTCTGGCCGGAACGTAGCCGGCCCATTTCGTGTTGTGTGTTTCGGAGGCGTCGAACATTCACACGCCCACTTTTTTGGGGAAAAACCTAATTGAAAATGAAAGTGGCTTGAAGAGTCCAATACAACAGGTTGTGAGACCCAGCGCCCACTCTGCCACTCACTCCTTTCTTATGGGTAATTGGCGTCGACACCCTTGTCAGTAAACAGTCCGGTGCAGATTTTTGGGTACATAAACAAAATTTGTTGCCTTGATAAATTTTAGTTTTGTTAGCCCACATTGTGCCCGCTCTCAAAAGGGGTTGACAAAGCGTGTTGGAAATCAATTTGGTTGTCTCTAGTAGGCAAAAAGGTCAAATGCCATTTGGTAAATGAAAAAGCGCTTGGAAACAAAACTCAACCAAATGCCACGCCCCCTACTCACCGCCCACCGCCCACCGCCCACCGCCCAACGTTTTGCTCTTATCTCGCCTGAACGCTGGCTGGGGGATTGGTCTCTCTGAAGGCGTTCGCCTGCCCTAAATGTCAGTGAAATGTCAAAATAAAAGTAATGCTGATAAAAATTTTATAGCTTGTCAGAAATGCTAACGAAAGAGAAAGAAGAAAAGAAGAAATGCCTGAAGGAGCGTTTGCTTCTCATCTGTGTTCCTTATCAAATGTCGCGACTTGGGTACTTTAGTTTATTGGAATTTGCATGAGACAGCTATATATGCCCGCAGCACAAGGTGGCAAAGTAACGCGAGTTCTTAACACAACAAAATTTATGTTAAATCGAACGACAGCCAGCAGTTAAAATAAAAAGAAATGTCGATATATACAATGTGTGTATGTGTATGAGTTTTATCTCATGGTTTCCAGTTACTTAAAGCAGCTTTACAGCTTTGCAGCTTTGAATACTTTGTGCCTTAAAGCCCACTCAGGTGTGTTTAATTTAACACAGGGCAACAAACTTCGGGAACCTATCAAACAGCAGCAATAAATTGTAAAGCATATAAAAAAGGAAAACAAAAAATAAAGTTTTGGCAAAAAATAAAAAAGTTGCTTACACTTTTGACTATAGCGTTTTCCATATATGGAAATTTATATTAGAAAACGATCAACATTATCAAATGTACTTGATAGATAGATGAAATATCGGTTACACATAAATAATAATATCGGTTACTCATAAAATAAACTCATAAATTAATTATCTCTCATTCACTTTCATTTAACTAGATCAATAATTGCGCTATCCTTCATATCCTCTAATAGTTTATAGATAGCATAGACATTCTCAAATGATAGTTTTTTTAATTAATGATTTATCGATCATTCGCACTTCAGTTTTTAAACTAGGTGTTGCAATACATATTTTGATAGATCAGTTTTATATCATTATCGATCATATTTATTTCATGTTATCGATATATCATAGAAAATGTTTCAAATTTAAAGAGAATTTAAGTAATCGCCATAAAAAATGATTTTATATCCGTTCTGTTTCCTAAGCTTATGAAACATTAATATTTTCTATGCATACTGCAAAATTTATAGTCGATTATTTTTAACCAATAAATAGAGCTCAATAAGTATTCAAATTCTACACTCAGTAAATTATTAATATTTTTAATAGAGACATATATCGAAATAATATATTTATTACAAATAAATTTAAGCTCTAAGATTTTACTTATTATTTTTAAAGGAACTTTGCAGTCATGTGTAATCGATAAGCTTAACGAAAACCATTGACAACCTGTTGGGTCTAAGCCTAAAAATTTGCTTTGATAGGTTTACACAAAGTGTAAATTCACCCTACTACGTAGCTGGGCGCCATTCTCCAGCCAAGCTCATTAAATTTGATTGCATTAAAGACTTTTATCGCATTTGACCAAACGTCTCAATTCGATTTGCCTCAAGTCAAGTCGAGCAGAGAGACGAGCAGCAAAATCTCAGTCAATTGACATTTGAAAGTAATGTCAAAACAATCCATGTCACCTTTTTGCTCCATGTCTTTGATTTCATTATGGAACTGAGAGTGTCGAGTGGGAAGAGATGGGGGTTTGCTTTGATGCTGTCCCTGGTTGATTGGCAACGTGTTGATGTGCGCAATCAGCCCGCTTGCCATGTGTTCGTCCACTCTGGGGTGGCAACTGTCAACTGTCAACTGTGTGTGTCCCCAACGACAGCAAAACAATGTCAGGGGCATTTCACATTATTCCAGCTATATCTGTGATATAAAAAAGCTATAAAACTGAATGGATTGTAAGTAAACATTCGCCCACACACTCAACAGGCTATAAAAACTATTCGAAAGCTTATTAAGATGTTTCAAGATAATCCAAAAACACAAGTTTCGTATACAGATTCATTTTTGTTTTTATGATATATGTATATCAAATTTATAAATATATTAATAAAGTAGTGGAAACGGTTTCAAAAACTATGATATATATAATAGGAGACTTATGGTGGCAAATCCATCTCACTCAAATAATATTAATAATAATATCCTGCATGGGTAGAATGGATTCATTATTTAGAAATGTTTTAAAAAAAATCTAGGCTGCCTTCAATTTAAATTTAAGGATGGACTCTAACTAAGGTAATCAGTATGCCTTCAATTTAAATTTAAGTATCTATAATTAGGCAAATTAGGCAAATTTATCGCTATAGTTTCAGGTTTCAAGAAGCGTATCACCCAATTTTTAAATGTTCTTCCCTTTTACAAAAGACATCTGCGCCTTTCACATTCTATCTTTAAAAGATGCAATAAACTAGAGCCCAACTATAAACCCCTATTTCAAAGGCTAACCAGCGTCTGCTCCACTGGCCTTACGTAGGTGTGTCAAGTGGACAAAATAGACAAATTTATTGGTGGCAGTTCAAACGCCCACAACGGCAAGTGTTGAAAGTCGTAGGGAAAGAACGAATAACAAAGCGAAGAAACGAACTCATGCGTTGTTTATTCTATTTGTTGTCTATTTCATTAATTGATAACAATTTTTGTCACAATTAATGGCAGCCACTCGTTACGCCTCATTTCGCAGAGTGTTCCATAAAAACCAGACACAAGTCGTGGCAGCAAAAGAAAATATCTAAATAAATATTATATGTCAGCGGGATAGGAAAAAAAATGGATATATAAATGTATATAAATTATTTAGGCTGATAAGGAAAAGAGAAGCGAAACAAAATGCAACGTGAACTGTCACACTGTCACATAAATAAATTATATAAATATATATTTTTAGTAGGCAAAAAGTTTGCCAGACTGTATTTCCCGTTGGCCCGCCCCCACAATTGCCATGACAGCCAAGAGGAGCGCGGGCCGTTTGTCGCATTTAATAATGACAGCTCATCAAAAATGTATATGACCTACTTGCTCGTCTCATCAAAGATGCCAAAACCAAGAAAAAAAGAAACAAAAAGAAAACTTGCTGTTGAGGGGATGGTAAAATAAAACAAAAATATAGCAAAACGAACCCAAAAAACTGATCCCAGCCCAAACGAAACGAAAGTTGGGAAAACTTTTTTATTCGAGCCGTCGCCGCTGGCATTTTATGGCATTTGGATAGTCCTCAGTGGGCTGTTAAAACGTTCAGCCCCAGTTGGGGCTAAGTGCTCAAATTAGTGGCGGGGCCAAGGGACAGGACTCTGGATAATTGAATGTAGCAAGCCAAAATCCAGAAAAATAAACTATTTCATAATGGGATCCCTTTCATGAGTTATAACTGCCTGAATTTGGTAAGCAGAAATCTGCATGCCTCGTTTGCCTTGGTAAAAAATACTTTCTCTCAATATTACAGTTGCAAGATACATTGATACAATAATATTAAAATTAAATTTTCAATTAGCATTTATTATTACGAGACATTTTATTACTTTATTATTAAAATGATTTTTTAATATTTGCATCCTACATTTTTTAATAAAATGAAATGAATGG